TCTAGAATAATGCTTGTTCCACAAAACTATATGAGAAAATACTTACAAGCCCAATAGGGCAGCACTGGAAGGGTAAAGAATAAAACAGCTAAATCAGAGGGATTGAGTAAAGACATATTGCTGATCTTGCATCTCACTAGACAGGCACAATTTATTTTGAATCTTCTCACTCTGTGGGAGATCCCTCCTGTAATTCCATGTACTGGAATGTTGTTTGTTGGTTGTTGTTTTTCTGGCAGCAAAGTCTTAATTCCCAAACCAGCTCAGGACTAGATTAACAGCTGTGAATTCCATTTGTGTAACAGAGGAACCTGCCTACATAGTTAAATAAGATTCCTGAACCATGTGATTTTGTAATAGGGTTTTATTCTGACCTTGCAGTGGTATAACTCAAATTATGGCCAGAACAACTACCTCCACTGCAGTTCTACTGAGTACAAAGCTGAGAGGAATCAGTGTCACATTAGGCACGTTTGTTAATTAAAACAGAGCCATGATCAGTTTTGAACAACTTCCCTCCCTTCAGCAGGACATGGCACAGTCAGGTGTCTGTGAACAGTCCTTGTGTGGCTGTTTCAAACACTGACATTTCACATGGCAAGAAGTATTCTAGATTTGATGAGGGGAATTCCACAACTCCCAAATCCTCTTCACCCTACCCCACCCCAGCAAGTCTTATCTAAGACTGTAAGTTCTGATAGTTCCAATAAAGGAAACCTAAACACCCACTTGATAACTTATTCATGGTTATATCCCACTTATATTCAGGTTTAGATAACTAAAAGGTTAAGATGTATTATTTCCCACATTCAGTTTAAAATTCTTCAGTTTTCTCTGCTTCCCAGTTCCCTGCCTTTGTCATTTCATTTCCTACTTCAATGGAAGAAGAAAATTACTGTATCAGAGAGCACAAGGTTCTGAGTTACCAAAGCACCTCTCATATGCATGGACAAATACTCAGTGATAACACAACTGTTCTCAGTTATCCAAGAAATTCTGCTCTTCTATATTTAGAATATAAAATCTTTCTTGATTTTTTTAACACATTAGCCTCTGTCAAAAGTGATTAATTCTGCATAGCATAAGATAAAGCAATTCAGTCTTTCAAATGGCTGAACAGCAGAGAATAATTATAATGGAAAAGTCTTCTCAGACTTTAGCAGCAGAGTCATTAGAAAACTAAAAATTTTAGGAAAGTAATTTTTGCATCTGAGCTATCCAATTTTCAAACTGCTTTGATTTATTGGATGCAAAGACTTGCAATTTGAAATTTCAGCCTTTGTTTCAGCATTTTAAGGTTTTTCAGTTAACTTTTTCATAATTTCTTTACTAAACACTATGTAAATTACACTGTGAAGGTACAGAAGGCTTATGTGCCTTGTTCCTATGTGCTGGTACATATTTCACACTGTAGGTGTTTCACTGGTTATCACTGACAGTGAAAAAGGGAAGCAAAACTATCTACAGATAAATGAGAGATACTTTCAGAGATGGTTTTGGATTAATTGTTTAAATAGGGTCTTCCTCTTGCATGCATAGTAAATTATTTTCACAGTAATGTTTATATACATGAAACAAAGTTTCATACTTAGAGCAACACCTGAGATGCTAAATTAATCACAATTTGAGATTGTAGAAATTCTCTTTAAAATTGAGATTTCATGATGAGACTGGAGCTTCACTGAGAATTAAGATGGCAGGATCAAAGACTCAGGGTGAGAAATACCAAACCAAGACCTCTCCATTTAACTTTAAATTTCTGTCTCGGTACATTCTCCATCTGGTAATATGTTGCCAATTAAAATTATGCACAAACCCTCCCAAGCAGTAGGAACTTGACTACATGCTCCAATTCAAGTCATGTGAGAAAAAAATGTAACACACATTAATATTCTAAACTTCCTCCTACACCATCTAACGTACACCTTGGAACATTTGCAAGGAATTAAAGATGCTCCTGAACTTTCATTTTACGTTTGTACTTGAAACTGCCAAGTTTTTAACAACCCTGCATAGTTAAGTATGAACTGAAGTTGCAGAAAGATCTCCTTCACAAAATTGCCAAGTGAATAGATTTAACTTTTATCTAGGAGATCCAATCCTGGGTGGAAAGCCTGAGAAGCATTGATACCAAGTGTCATTTGTGATCTCTCCTGTGCTCAACTATCCCCATCTTCGGTTCTGCAGAACACAGAAACTGCATCTTTAACTAAACTGCAGGGCTTTAGATTTTCCAAAGTTGCAAATTTTCACTTCCCAACAGAAACAGCATCCTAAAGGACCTGATGTCACCAGCTGCTGTTCCCTCTATCATGCCAGCCAAAGTCACCCAAAAACATGTGCATGCAAGAAAGCCAGGCTGAGGGTCAGAAGAAGGACAAACTGATATTGTTAAGGTTTACCCTTCTCAATTATTACCCTGATCCAGAAAGTTCAGACAGGCTCCCAGGAGTGACCAACTATAAAAATTTAAAAAACCCTAACTGCAAAGGAGGACAGTGCTTGTACTATCACAAGACTATCAAGTTCCTAATGTCAAAACTCCAACAGCAAAAATAACTATCAGCAAAACTTTTAGCATTTCCTCCTCACGGACAGAACTGATTTGGAATTACTGTAGTTACACTCTACCCTGATTAGCACAATGATAAGTTTTACAACTGAAAGGTGAACACAATTTCAGTGAATTACACACTGGATCTAACCTGTCCACTGTGCTGATATTATTTTTACAGTTATGTTAACTCTAACTAGATGATATATTCTTCATTAAAAGAAAAAAACAATCTATAGGTCTAGGAAGGATTAATTCTAAGGTTATTTTTGTTAGTCTCCTGATGATTGCTCTACTGTATTAATTAATGTTTAATGCGTAATTTGTCTTATCCATGTTACTTTGTACTGCTCATGTATTGAGCTCCTTGGATAAAACTTGCCCAGTGGTCTGCTCAGTCCACAATATAAATAACAATAATTGATTCACAACCTCTCCCATTACACAGGCTGACTATTAATGATTAAGCCTTTTATGGCATGCAGTTCCACAGGCTCCACATGAGCAAATGGAACACCAAGAATGATATTTAACGTTTGCTTTTATGCTGGTTTTCTTTCTAACACCACACAGGGAGTGGCCCAGTATCTCTTATAAGGTCCATAACTCTTCTCCCACAAGACTCCTTCTGCACTGTTGGAGTCGTTTTGCTGCTTAACAAATGCAAATTTTGCCTGACATGATGGTTATCAGATTTGGACAGAAGTCCCTTCAGCAAGACAGTTTCTTGTACTGTTTTGCCATTGAAAAAACACAGGTCTCATGTAGAAAAGAAATCTTTAATAAGAAAATTGGACTATAAAGCATGATGTGCTGCTACAAGGCAAATGGAGCACCAGTGGTCAGTGACCTGGACTGTCCAGCTACAGCTGGAGACCACAGAGAGACACAGAGATATCTGGGGGAGTTTTGTGGAACTACATCCCTAAGTCCTTCTTAAAAAAAACCCAGTCAGAGACAGCGACTAGCCCTGGTTGTTTGGGGTTTTTGTTTGTTTGCAACAGGCAGGAAGCTGCTGATACCTTCTGCTTCCAAGGCTGAATAAGCATTTCCCACTAAACTGTAAACAGAGAAATGTTTGAGTAACCTTTGAAAGTACGCTGAACTAGCTTCTATGCCAAATCAATCAGCTGCTGTAGTGACTGAAATTCTCTCTCTCTAGTTTCTTCTTTCTGGTTTAACATTTTGAATCCTCCCCTTATCACTCAATTTAACAAAATAAGATAATTTTGCTTTGTTAAAAATAATAAAATATTACTTCTTTCCATCATGCAGAGGATAGTTTAGTTCTCCTTCAGATGGGAATTAATGGTATTCAAATACAGATAATGCTTACACATGGACAGTTCCATGCACACACAAACCTTTGGAGTAGATGTTTTGAACCTTGCTACCTTGGATGGTAATTTAATTACCTCAGTCTTAAATCTTTCCTTGGGCTCATAAGCGTTCAGTGAATCTGGACCTCAGTATCCTAAGAGCATTCCAGTAGCCAAAATCACAAGGTGCCATTGGGGCACTTTCCTAAACACAAATGCACCTGCTCCTCCCTTCTGTGAATGTTGGATTCTGCACTCTTATCCAACTTGTACCCTCTGGAACAAGGACTACAGAGGGATTTACTGAGGCACTCAATAGCCAACCATTCTTTTTCTGTGGTTTTCTAATTTTTTCCTTTCCTACCATAATCAGATTCCTACCATAATTTGCAAATTTTAGTGTGAGAGAAAAGTATTGGTTTTAAATAGCACTATCTTTTTCAGAATGAAATCTCTTTTATGAGATTTCTCCTCTAGAGTCCCTCCTGAGATAATTTTGTCAGCTTCCTAGCTGTAGAATATTGCCAGTGTCATGCTGCCAAACTAATAGGTGAGAACTTGCTATTCTCAAGTTTTTCCTCTGTAAATTGATATTTGCCGTTCCTAAATTAAAAGGCAAAAAAAGACCTCATAAAACAGAGCTATTGTAAAACAAAGTCCTCACTGTTTGCTTATTCATTTCAGTAAGATTTGTTCCAGGGGGCTAATTAAGTGTGTACTCTAATAAGAACACCCAGGCGATCTTTAAGCACTTGGCCATTCTCACACAGGAGCAATGCCTGACCTTGCAATCAGTGGATTTCCTCTACTGTAAAACCTTACTCATTAAAGAGGTTCTGGAAGTGACCCTAGATGTCATTTTGACTACCAAACATCCCAGTTTAAATGAGTAGAGCTTCACTGAGGTTATTATTCACTGATTGATAAAATTGCTTTGTGCTCCTGATTTAAATTAGCATTCCTCTAATATAAAGGCATGCTCAAAACTGTAGGTACCTCTTGGCAAACTGAGAAGTACAGAATTAATTTCAGGAATGGTCACCAGAATGGTTAGAACCAGGATGGTTCCGTGAAAGGTCTCAAGTTATCAATATTCATTTTGTCCATGTTGAAGTTCTACTTCTTACCATGCACTTGCGATCATCCACCCCAGACAAATCCTCCTCAAACTCCTTCCCTACATCAAATTCCATGATGTAGTTTCTAAAAGTGCTTAGTGTTTTAATGATCATATGATCCCCGTTTTGAAGGATTTCCTTGTCGGGCTTTAGTAAGTTTGCTATTTTTCTTACAGCAACATTTACATCTGAAAAAGAAAGAGAGTTATTTTTATCCAGGAAAGTCTTCCACAAGAAGGAGGTTGTCGCTTCTAGGAAGAACTGAAATGAACAAAGATAAATAGATATCTAAATCCTTCAAACCAGCCTTCTGATCCAGAAAAAGTATGTAACCTAATTCTTATAACTTAAATAATGTTTCAATTTTCCAATTATGTGAAAGCTATAAAAAATACCATTTGTATCTGACAGTTAATAAGGCCTACAATATTTCTATAGAGATACTAACACAACATCAAATACAAACACACAAAATTGCATTAAATACTACATAGAACCTTTATTAAATATAAAAATTTTACTGCTTTTCAAATTATAGATTTTTTAATGTTTGGAATCCACCACATACCTCTTCAAGCTATGTAGTTTAATGTCTGTTAATGTAAGCTTCAAGATGGTAAGAAGTAGAGTCTGCTTAAGGCAAAACTATTTTGCTTAAGGCAATCCTTAAAGTGCATTTCTGAAAAAAAATACTTCTCACAAAAATGACTTATGACTGTACAAGAAAAAATAGATTCACATAAAGAATAAGACAGGTGGCATTGATTATTCATTCAAGAAGTTTGAAGGGAACCTTACCCAGTGCTTTCAGATACTCCTCAAAATTGTCATTGCTGACCATTTTCCAGTACCCATTGAAGTCTGCAGGCATCCCTGCTTCAGGTGATTGCCAAAATCACTGGCTCAGAACCGTGGGTTGATTCTGCACCACACAACTCACTGCCTTGCTTTGTGGCAAGTTTGAACTCTGGTTTCTTTTATCTTGTTTTTAGACCATGGAGCTATGCAAGTCCTTCTAATCCGATTATTATTGAAGTGCTGCCTTTAAATCCTTCTACAAGACTGAACCTCCGAGATTTCTAATGACAGCAGGATGACTTGATTTAAAACGAATGAAATATTCACCTTTCATATCACTTGTATAAGGGAAATCCGTTTTAACCATATTACTCTTCATTCTTCACACCACTCAGAAGAAAACCCCTTTCAAATAGCTTTAGTTTAGGGTATTAGCCAAAGTTATACAAGTGCTTATCTTGTGTGCTTTTTGAGCCAAATTCTTCTTTCTTGAATAGGTTTCAACTACTTTATGCTTTCTTTCAAGAAAACAATCATACAGACCTTTTCAGTCAAAGCCATTTGTGTCTGTTATTCCTTGTTCCACAAGCTCCTGAATCCTAAAGAGCCACCATGTCAGAACTCATCCCTATACAGGCCACTAATTGTTGGCGATGGTGCTTGGCACCAGCTGACGGTGGATGGGAACTGACTGTCACTGTTAGGTTATTATCTTACTGCAAGACTTTCAGACCACCTCTCTGTGAGTTCTCATAGACAGCTTCTCGCAACCCTGACCCTTTTCTTTTTCTTCTGCTCAGCTGGCTGACTTCCTGTCCCGAGCACAAGTGCCTGACCCCATCTGTCCCTAGCAGCACATACTGACCCTTACTGTCCCTAACATGAACACCTGACCCCTTCTGTCCCTAGCACAACCATCTGACCCTTACTCCTCACAGCTGCACAGCCAACTGACTCCAACTCTGTCTTGATCAGCTAACCTATTCTTTTATAACATCCATCCTCACTGGACCATCCTTATTGGACACAGATGTGCCCTACTATGGGCAGGCCTTATTGGACACAGCTGTGCTCTATTAAGGGCAGGTCTATTCCTACTCTTTGGTAATTAGTCCAGCTGCAACTCCTCAGGGGTGAGATTGCCTTCAGCACTGTCTCCTCCTATAATCCATCCTCCCACACCAGCAGTGGAAGCTGTTTGGCCAGCTGGGGGCTCAGAAAGACCAGTTAGGTGGAAACTTGTATTAGAAAGCAGTGGTTACTCTGTACAGTGATAAATGCTACATCACTGCTGCATGAATGCTTTCAGTTGAGGAGCTCTGAAACACAGAGGGAGCAGTTTATAGAGTTCTGTATTCTCTGAAAGTGACTCCTGTCAGAAATGAGAGACACTCAATCAGCATTAACAGGCAACCAGCAGAGAGGAGCACGGATTTTCCCCACTAACATCCGAGCTCAAGTACTGAGCCTCTCAGATGTTTGCATGTGGTACAACTGAGGCCCCTACAGGATATTTGCTCTCCTCTGGGATTTTGGCAATTGCTTGCTCTTGAGAAGACTTTGTATCAGAGAAGAAAAGAAACCCACTTGTCTTAGGTTGCAATGCAAGATGTAACCAGAAGTGTGTATTTTATCACCATTTGTTAAAACCAGGTGGGGCAGTTTTCTTTATCTCTTCCGCAACCAGTTCTCTCTCTAGGAAATACCTTCTGTTAATGGGCCATTGAGTGTCACTGCAGTGTCACTTTCGGATAAAAGGTCTGATATAATTCTATCATCGCATTGGGAGATGCTCCACCCAGGGGGAGGAGCCAAGCAGTCCTACCTGGATACAATCTGATTTTTGGAACACCACTGCAGCCTTCGCCCACTGCATTCCCAGAGGAGCAGCTTTCTTCCCCACTGCATTCCCAGAGGAGCAGCTTTCTTCCCACTGCATTCCCAGAGGAGCAGCTTTCTTCCCACTGCATTCCCAGAGGAGCAGCTTTCTTCCCACTGCATTCCCAGAGGAGCCCAGGCCCATCTCCCCCAGCCCTGGAGCTCCAGAGGAAAACTCCCCCCTTGTGCAGGATCCTGCTCCAGCAGAAGCACAGCTGGCACTGCAGGAGGGCTGAGCCACCCTGGGATGGGACTGCTGCCACCTCCCTGACACACAGGGGGCAGGGCCTGTTCTGACTCCCGCAGTGTTTTCTTACTACTACATTTTCCCTAATAAGTTGTAGTTTTACATTTTAAAAAATTTATTATTTATGCACACTAGTAAAGAACTGTTATTCCTAACCTCATATCTTTGTATGAGAGCCCCTTAATTTCACATTTATAATAATTCGGAGGTAGGGGATTTACATTTTCCATTCCAAGGGAGGCTCCTGCCTTCCTCAGCAGATACCTGTCTTTTCAAACCAAGACACCGCTTTAAATGTGGGGATGAGGACTGCCTGTCATTTGAGAACCTGGAGCCTCAGAAGTGGCAGAAGTAGAATGTGCATTTTTAAGTGCTTGCATGAAAGAAAGATTGATATCCACATCTTGGATAAATCACCAGAAATCAAAAAGCTATTCAGGGTCTTATAAAGTCAAAGTTTAGAAGTAATATATATTTAAACATATCTCTCTGTCTCAAGTTATGGTTCATTGTATTTTTCTGGTTTAGAACAGTAAGGATTGCAGAATTGCAAGTTAGGAAAATATTATATTTGACCCTTAAGTCATATTTATTGACTTGATGAAATTATTGAAATACCAATATTTATTGTGAATATCTCCTAATATCTCCTTTCTTTTATTTTCACAAGGAAGCCGTTCTTTGTGTAACATTTTAAGCTACACAGCTGAGCATCCCAATTTTCTTGAACACTACCACACACAGATTCATGGACTTAAAACACCACATGATTTCAAGAAATTTTGGACATTCCCTTCATTATTAATAAGAAACAACTTTCTCAAGAAATCTACATGACAAAGATCCTGGTCTGACATGGCACACAGTGCAGAAATCAGTCCCTCAGAGGGTTTATGGTTGTGTTTTGCAGCCTGAGAGGCTGCAGCAGGTGCCCCTCATTCCTGCGCTCGCTCTCTGCTGTGTAGATGTTGTGCTGTGCAATGTAGGCAATAACAGAGTCTGGGATGAGATATTTCACACTCAGCCCTCTGCACAGGGCAGAGCGGATCTGCGTTGCACTGACTTCATTCTGGATCCACTCTCTCACCAGAAAAATATTATGCTGAAATTTAGATAAAAGGTCTGATTCCTGGATGAACTGAGATGGATCAGAGCCAACCCGGCTAATGCAGACCAAACCAAACTTTCCCACTATTTCTTCAATGTCTTCTTCCTTCCAGAGATTGGGTGTCTTAAATGTCTGTAGAAAATCAGCCCCACAGAGCAGCTTTAATTCTGGTAGAACTGGAAAGACAAAAAGAAATAACAGATGTCTTATCCTTTCTCAGTCTTCTAGCAAGTTTATACTTAAAATCAGTTTTAACTCATCACTTTAGATTTAAAAAAAAAAAAATTAAATTAAATAATTCACCTTTACTCCAGGCTTTTTTTCAGAAGGTTGCAAGAAAAATTCAGTTTAAGTTTTTGTCTGGTCACAACTACTTTAACACCTACTTCATCATCATTCAAAGCATACTGAATATTATCTGTACACAGCTAAAGGAGAATTTTTACTCCACTCAAGCAATCCAAAAAGGGGACGAAGCAAATAAAAAGAAGTACTTTAGCAGGAAGATTAGACTTGGTTGAACCTGACTACACCACACCATCCTGCCCTGCTGTTCTTTATTGTCTCTATTTTTGCTGTTCCCTGCCTAAGCCCCAGCACAGAACTCTCTCCTCAAAGTTCTTCCACAGCATTTGTCATTGTTCCACCTGAGTGTTGTGCAAATATTGACCAGGTAGTTTCACAGCTTTCTATTCACGTGAGATGAAGGGGAAAGATGAAGATTTGCCTTCACTTTACACTTATTTGATGGTTAGCACATCTGCAAGTCTTCTACTAACACTTTAAAGGAAAGATTCAGAATGTAAGAAACATTCCACTGATGATGTGTCAAAAGTGTGACTTCTTTCCACCACCAACTGTAAAGATACAACTCCTCAAGAACTGGGAACAGCTGAAATGTATTATTCATGTCCACGAGACGCTATAACACTAGAGGAAAAAGGCAATGTATCAGAAATGCAGCAGCATCCTAGCAAGCCATAGGGCTAGGGAAGATGATTAGATAGGGAACTTAAAACTGACATTGTTTCCAGAGCTTGCTGTGCCTCTACTGCCAACAGGAGTTTTTCTGGACAGCAAACATCAACATGGCAGCATCACTACTGTGCTATCCATACACTTTGTCCATTAGCTAACACTAGAGGTAGAATTCTAAGCAATCCCTGTATTTTTCATATTTTTTCGTATTTTTTATTAATGTATTCTGTGCTTTGCAAAACAAGCAGGGCCACAACATACATCTCTGACAGAGCTAAAGAGCTGCTTATAAAATCAAGAATTAATACAGCTCCAGGGTCTCTTATCTGTGTGGGAGCTATTACAGAACAACTGCCCTAGAAGTTATGTTGGCATTTGGCATGGCTTAGTTTTGCCATGCAGCTCCAACCATCAAAACTCACCAGCTACTATGTTCAATTTTCTTGCTACTAATCTGGTAAAGCTGTACAGTTTTTAATGCTAAACACAGCATCATGTTTGCAGTCATGAACCAACCTGGTTGCTGGCAAGAAAGGGAGTTCCCCGTAGAGCTTTCTGTGGGATGTTTGTTTCTTGTGAACTCCTTCTTGGACTGGAATGCTCTAAGTGCTTCATTATAATGGTGCCTGCATTTAAAATAAAGGCTTCTGTGTGAGGTAATTCTCAGAGATGCAACAAAGTGATTACCTGACACTTTCCGATTCCAGTACAGGGTCTACTTTTATGCCCTTTGGATTGGAATATCATTCTTTAGGAATTTGGCACATTTTATGCTGCCATGAGATTAGTATCAACGTAGTTACATTTTGTAGAACTCACATGCAATCTCCTTGATTGCATCTTGGTTTGTAAATTCTTTTTAAAATTCTACCATTATGGCAATTTTGGTAGCTACTACATTTAAAACATAGAGGAGTTTTTCTGCCTGAAACATGACTAAATCTCACTTCAATCACTAGCTGTAATTTCTTGACTAAATACAACCCCTCATTATAGTGGTTTTGTAATGTGTGCTCTGTTTTGAGGAGGAGACATTCTTGTTCTCTCTCCTCCTCTTCTCCATAAAGGTATGTTCCCTGAGTTTTTACCTTGCTGTTTTCCTGTTTATTGTAATTGGAAGAATCTCAATTCCAATAAACTAAAAACTCTCGTAAGATTTTTAACATCTGCTGTGCTTCTAATTTTACTGAGTTGAGATCCAGGAAGGCAGGCAAGGATCCCTTTGCATGTTTTTCCAGGTTTCTGCTACTTTATCATTCTTCATCCCTGGTGCCTCCCTGCAATAATGGTATTGCCACCTCTTGGCAGTGGCCTTTTCCTTCCAAATTAGCACTTCCTTGCTTGTTTAGAACAGTCCCTGCCTTGTACCATCCTGAGCCAGGCCTAAGCATTGCTCATATTCACACAAGCCAACATTGCTTCAAGGATACAAGCTCCTGGTCAAGCAGCACAAGCAGACACAGAATCAAGGCCATGTCCAATTTCTGTGCAGCATATATAGAGCCACAGTGACCATCAGCTCTTATCCAACTGCAGCAACACAAAGGTTCTGAGTTTCAAGGAACAGTCTGAATCCAGTGCATGTACAAAGCCCCAGCTGACCCTTGGAATGTCTGCTGTAAGGAAGGAATTCACAGGTTAGTGATTTAAAAGTACACTCTTCTAATTGTGCAAACACTTTAGCCACAGGAATAAACTGCATATGTGTCAAGAACCTACACCCAGGCAGGCTGCAAAGCAGCCTCCAGTGATTTCTGGTGCTCAGCCACTGGCCAGAGAAACTGCACAGCCAAGAGGTGAGGCACATATGGCAGCAGAGAGTGGGTACCAGGAGCTTGGTCTGTGCCTTCCCACACACCTAATTTTAACCCTGCCTTGCTGTAAACAGGCTGCTGCTATGTATAGCCAAGCACACCAACTGTGTGTCGTGCTCTGACATTCTTGGGCCAGGATTCAAAACCAAGAACATTTGGCAAAGAGCTCCCCACACGACCAATGTTACAAACATTGCAAAATCTGAGCTGCCCGGGTCTGCTCAGCAGCTCAAGGGCTGGAGCAAGTGGGGTTGCATTACTTTAGATTACAGCAAAAAGGACAAACCCATCTGCCAGCTTCTCAAGCGCTTTCTGAACTGTGTATGAAGCTTTGAGTGACTATAGAGCTAAATCAGAAGTTGGGTAATGCAGATCTTTGCCAATTTTTAATTACTGCGTATTATAGCTGCATGCCAATCAAATCCACAAGAGCAATGAATGCAGTCCTTTGCCTACTGACAATAGTGCTTCCTTGTCTAGGAATACTCATAAACAGCAGCTATGTGGAAACGGCTCTATTATGTTCCCTCCTCCTAAGAAAAGCCTTGGGATAGTCTCCAAGATTTCCATACTCATTTAATAGCACTGCCATAAGTGGGATTTGAGCTTTGCTGCATTAAATTCTTTAATAACTGTGTCACAACTACTTGGGGCCCTCTGCAAAATCCACAGGTTTTGATGAAATGTGACATTTTTATCGTGTTCAGTTAAAATAAGTACTGTAGGGAAAGGCCATTCATGTGTTTCAGGACTAAATGTTCTACTGCAGTTAAGTGTACAACTCAAACTACTGATAAGAAGAGACACTTAGGTACAATAATGATTTCCTCTGCCTTGCAATAGGAAAATCTCTTTTTATTGCTACTGAAGTTTCCTACCTGAGAGAGCTTATTGTGAAGGCAGCAGTTAGTCCTTGGA